TCTGGGTCTGCGCAGGGTCGCCCTCCGCGGGGCCTCCCAGGAGGTAGCAAAAGTGGCGACGGGCGCGCAGTGGGCAGCACCCAGGGAGGGCGAGGCAGGAGGCAGGCGGCAGGAGGCAGGCGGCAGGACGCAGGGAGGGAGGGGGCTGGAGAGAGGAGCACGGGAGGGGAGCCGCAGCGGGCTGTTCATCAAGACGAGTACGCACCCGACACCGGCCACGGGTAGGAAAAAACGATACGGCAGGCCAAGTGACGTCAAAATCCTCTGCATCTGCCGTACAAGCTCGACCACAAGAAACCTTCCACGAGAAGCCCAACACTGAGACCCCAGGACGTCCATTGATTTTTGGGTGTGGGAACGTCACGCTTTCCACAGCAAAGATCGAAACCCAAGAAACCCAGGGCACCCTGGAGGCGAGCAGGGTGCTTCTTGGTATGGGTTTCCACTGTACGGCAAGCCAACTGACGTCAGAAAATCCTCTGCATCTGCTGGCACCATTGCTGGCACCAGCATCACCTCTCGACGTACCCGTTCCGCTCATCGTGCACCGTTGCATTCTCGGGCAGTGGTACTGGAGCAACTCCAACCGCCGACTGCAACCTCTACACGACCACACAGATGCTCGATATCATCATCCGTTCAGCCCTGCCCTCATCCTCTTCCTCCTGTGCCTCCTGCTCCTCCTAACCCTCCTTCAGCTCCTGCTTGTTCCCCTCGGCCCCCGTCTCCTCACCCCACGAAAACTACTCCTCGACCTGTCCTGGAGCGTACTCTGGCCAGAATCTCGAGGCAGACCCAGCGGTGGCGACGAGGGCGCCCCCGGGGGTCCGAAGATAGATGCAAAAGACGCCCTAAAACCTCGCGGACCCAGCGTGGCCGCAGCAAGGGGCGCCCCCGGGAGGCCACCGCAAGGAGGCGGCACACTCGTTGGCTGGCTGGCTGAGCCGAGCATCCCAAAGGACGCGTGCGTGGGCAGAAGAGTACACGATTGGCAGCTCCTCGTGGCAATGCAAAGAATACCCTGCTGAGCGGCTGCGTGCACACAGGAGGCTTGACTGTGAAGCAGACAAGCAGAGCTCGACCCTGTCGATACCCACGGAGCCCCAGCCTGGAGGAACTGCTGGTGGACGAGCTTGGCTTACCCGCCGCGCGCCTCTCGGCCCGCTTCTTCCTGCCCAGGGACGGGGGCTGGAGAACGAGGAGGAGGAGGAGGAGGAGGAGGAGGAGGAGGAGGAGGAGGAGGAGGAGGAGGAGGAGGAGGAGGAGGAGGAGGAGGAGGAGGAGGAGGATATCGGGTGGGCCAGCGGGGGCCAGGGGGGGAGGAGCAGGAAAGGCTGGGGAGCTGGAGGTGAAGGAAGAGAGGGGAGCGGCGGGAGGAGGTGGGACGAGGGACGAGTGACAAGTGATGACGGAGGCGGGAGGAAGAAGAAGAGGTGAGGAGGGAGAAGGGCGGGACGACGGCGACGAAGAGAGCGAAGAGGGAGGGCGGACGAGGAGCTCAAGCATGGTCCGACTCTGAGGCAAGAGGGTCCCTAAGGGCTTCACAACTTATGCTGTCCCTCGACTCGTGCTGGGCCGTCCACGGTTTGCTCCAGATTGCCCTGGAGATCTTTACTGGATTTACCTTGATTTGTCTGTATGTACCTTGGGCTCGATGCCCGCAAGTCGATGGGAGAAAAGTCGTCAAGCCTTCAGGAATAGGGGAACAGACATAAGGGGAATGAGAAAACATGGAGTGCGATGTGACAAGACAACCAGAATTATGCACCCCACCCCACCCCACCCCCATGCCTGACTCCCTCTTCCAAACTTCCTCGCGACAAAAACGCCTTGGCGACTGGTCCTTCTTGACTGGTTCATCCATGTCCTCCTCCGCCCACGATCACCATCATCGTAATAGTCATAATCGTCATCAGCATCATCATGCTCATCATCAGCAGCAGCATCATCATTATCATTATCACCAACATCATCAGCATCAGCAGCAGCATCAGATAATAGTAATAATCATCATAATCAGAATCAGCATCACCATCATCAGCATCATCATCATCAGTAGCAGCATCATTATGATCCACATGATGATCATGATCAGCATCATCATCATCAGCCTCATCATCAGCAGCATCATCACTACCATCATCATCAGCATCATCAGCATCATCATCAGCAGCATCATCATTATCATCATCGGCATCATCGTCATTATCGTCGTCATTAACAGCATCATCATATCCGTCATAACCAGCATCATCACCATAACCAGCATCAACAAACACCATTTTCATGACCTCACCATAATCACCATAACCAGCATCAACAAACATCATCATAATCACCAGCATAAACACCAGCCATGAACAGTGCCAAGAAACAGCCGACAGCTAAATTGACTGACTTTTCGGGTGGCATATGCATCGAAGGGGAGCCCGGTTGGAGCCTACTGAAAAGCCGAGTCATCGAAGGAGCGGCTGACCTGACAGGTCAGGCGCCCGCATGGGGCGGCCCCGTCCTCGCCCGCCGTGCGGATCTCGCGCATCACGCTCCGAACACAAGGGAAGAAGGGGCGCACGCTCCTTCTGCCCCCACCTCCTCTGCGTGTGGACGAAACGGAACTGGATATTCTGTCCGTTTTTGGCCTCCGGGCGGCCTCACCAAGGCTCGGGGCCATCAAAAAATGGCCTGGGAAGACGATGCCGGTCCTGGGAAAGGGGTCGAGTCCTCTGGGGGTCGGCGTTGCGAAAAACATCACGACATCGTATGGCTCGCGGCTGCGTCGGTAGTCGCGTGGGTGCCAGCCTCGATCTCGCTGGCCACGCGCAGCACGCCTCCGCGTTCCGTTACGCTGCTTCCGATATCGATGACCAGGGTGCGGCTGTCGTGGTAGTGTAGACAAAGCTGTACGCGGGTGTCGAGCTCAGAACGGCTACTGAAATACTGACTGGCCGAGACACTCGTTGCTTACACTGGCGAGGGATATTCCACACATGCCGTGGCTGTGGTTGCGGTCGCGGGAAAGGTGGTGGTCGGGAATGGTCGCAGTCGCGATAAAACAAAAGATGATGTGGTCGTGATCGCCCCACTGGGATGCAGTGTCGAAGCATGTTAGTCTTCAAAGGCCATCATGGGGACACCTGTCCGCTTCGAAGAGAACTAGACATGTATATATCGCAACGACTGCTGGCGCGCTCAGGCGGGACTCTGCGCACTGGAGGTTGAACTTTGTAGGGGCCTGGACATCCTTTTTGGCCACGGGCTGCGCGCAGCATTTACAGCACCAGGCCTGGGACAGGGAGGTGTGAGAGAGAGAAAGGAGGAGGAAAGGCAGAGAAAACAGAGGTGCAAACATATTCGTGCACGTGTAAAAGATTGTGTATGTGTACAAAAGAATGTACAGCAGGCGCGCGCTTCGCGCGCGCATTGGTTCTAGTGCGGGGCAGGTCCAACTCACAATACAAGGAGTTACTAGACGGCAGTCCGCTAGGAACGCTGATCGGGGACTGTCAGCATCTCCACATGGACAGACAATGTGAATTTGTTGCGTGTGCTTCCAATACAGAGGAGTGGTGGTCAGGCCCAAGCGATTGACCTGTCCGTCGGGCCCAGGTCGTCGGGTGCATATGATTGATTACACGGTCCGTGTAGCCAGCATATCGAGCGAGACGCACGATTGAGAGCCACCACACCAACGTCAACGATGCGTGGCGTAGCTTTCATCCGCTTCATGTTCTAAAAGGGAAGGCCACATAGCATCCCTGAAATGTTTATTCATGCAGTCCCTGATATTCTGCAGGGCTCGGAGGTTGTGGGTCCTTCAAGGCGCTGTCCGCAGGGCAGCGGACGTCCATACCCCCTGGATTATCAACAACCTCCGAGGTCTAGTGGTACACCTCGCCTGCCAAAGAAAACCAGAAAACGGAGCACCCATCCTCCTCCCTCATCCTCCTCTCCCTGCACCTCCCGCATTCGAATCATCATCACGACCATAATCACCACCATCGTCATCATTGTCATCACCACCACCACCAGCGTCAGCATCAGATTCAGCATCAGCATCAGCATCAGCATCGTCATCAGCAGCGTCAGCATCAGCCAGCGTCGTCATCATCATCAGCAGCAGCATCAGCATCGTCGGCAGCATCAGCAGCATCAGCATCGCCATCAGTATTACCGTACGGTATAAGCGGCAACAGCCTCAGCATCAGCATCAGCATCAGCATCAGCATCATCATCAGCATCATCAGCATCATCATCAGCATCATCATCAGCATCACCATCAGCATCACCATCATCACTACCACCACCACCAGCGGCATCAGATTCAGCATCAGCATCAGCATCGTCATCAGCAGCGTCAGCATCAGCCAGCGTCAGCGTCAGCATCAGCATCAGCATCACCATCCCCCTCGAGCCGCGCGCCGGCCCGCCCCCGCGCGCTCCTCGCCGCGCGGATCTCCGCACCAGTCGGGGCGGGCTGCTCCTCGATTGGCGCCGCGGGAACGGGGGACGGGGCGGGTGAGGGGCGAGGAGGGCGAAGAGGGCGAAGAGGACGACGAGGAAGGGAAGGACGAAGGAGGAGGCTCAAGGAGGAGGAGCGGGGGCCGCAGGCCCTCCCGCCCCCCCCCCCGCGCGGCCGCGGCGCCGTGCGATTGCCCCGGGCCCCTGCTGCGGCGGCTGCGCTGGCTGGCGGCGGGCGCCCCGCAGGTGCCCAACAGCTTCTACACGTACCAAATGAGCGACGATCAAAAACGGGTCCTACGCGAGGTGGCTTAGCGACCTTACGCCGCAGCTTACGCGGGCCGCCCGCGCGGCACGCCACATTGGCGACGAGGGCGCTTACGCGCGGCCTTAGGCGGGAACCGTACGCGCGAGTGTCGGCGCAGAGGACGCCGTTTTTTGGCGTCACTCGGATAGAGGTCGATGTGAACGTGAATGGTCACAATGACTCTCCGCCAGCCGCGACAGCGAATGCACCTTCTGTGGCAGCCGATCTGGGCAGTGCTGCTGGCGCTGCTGCTGCCGCTGACGCGACCGCCGCAGCGGCCCCAGGTGATGGTGGTGCTCCTCCCGCTCCTGCCCCAGCTCCTGGAGCCGCCCCACGGACCAATGTGCGCGCGTGGACGGCGAGCCTGCAGCCGGTGCAGCGGCACGTGGCCATCTGCTACGTGTGCTGCGACGGGTTCGCCCGGCAGGAGGTGCGGCTGGCCAGCCGTGCCAAGCCAGATCGTTATTTCAGGCACCTCCGCCTGATAGTCCTCCTCGTCCTCTCTCTCTCTCTCTCCCATCCCAAGGGGGGCGAGCCCCCGCGGAGTTCGTCCATGCAAAGTCCTTGCCCAGGGTGAACATGTGCGGGCCCACCGCCAGGCGCCGCACGATGGCCGCCTCCGCGACCGCGAGCACACGATGGCCTCGTCGGAGACCGCGGCCACGGCAGCTGGCCCACGCACGGCACAGGCACTCGGCGGGCGCGGCGGTCGCGGCGCTTGGCGCCGCAACTTGCCGACCAGGCGTTGGCGGGGCACCCTGCTGCCGCCTGCGGTGGCGGGAATGCCGTCAGCAACCTTCCTCGCTGACGAGTTCGCGAAGCAACCCATCAAAGTGGGCCAACGACAAGGTGTCGGAGACTGGATACTCCCACTGGGTCACACCAGCGCCGCGGTTGAAGAAGTAGGTGTCGCCTGATCTCTCATCCACTGCACTCTCCCATCCTGCAGGGAGCAGCTGCGGGGCGGCGCGCGTCGCGCCGCCGCGCCTCCCCGAGAGCGGCGGCTCCATCGGCACCACGCCCGTGAGCGCAGTGAAGAGGTTCGCCTCGGCGTCATGCGCGCCGACGCCGCAGGTCGACTCAGGAGCGCGCGGGCTTGGCCCCGAGGAGGCCGCGGCCTCCTGGGCGGCAGCAGACGTAGAGCACTCAAGGGATGGCTCCCTGGAGGCCCAGGGGGTTGGGCAGCGGAGGCGAGGCCTGCAATGCCCGTCAATCTCCACGGTGAGAGTCACACATGCATCTTGTCGCTCGGGATGTTTGCCTTCTCGGCGAACGCGGCGGCGCTCGGCGGGCGCCTCAGCGAGCGCGGCAAAGCCGGGCGGCTCCGCTGGGGGGAAGACTGCCGGCGTGCCCCCAGCTCCTTCGGCCGCGCCCTCCCGCACCTCCAGCTCCTCGTCGCTCGAGGGTGCCTCGAAAAGCTGCTCCACGAATGCCTGCTCAATTGACTCCTCCAGGTTTCCCTCTACTTTCTCGCAGGACGACGTCTGGGCCTCCAGCCTGACCCTGCTGAGCGCTGCCACTGCCGCCTCTTCTCGAACGAGTGCATCGCAGACTGTATCTGATGACGTTTGGCCCAAAGTAGCGCCACTGCCGACGGCCACTGTCTCTACTCGCAGGTCCTTCACCGAACCACCACACTCGAAGCTGATGGCGTCGGGCCTCTTGGGCCCCTTCTCGCATTGACGGCCCTGCTGCCACTGGCGGCCATTCTCAGGCCTCTCCTGCCGCTGACGCCCCTTCTCGCACAGATCTTCAGTGCGAGCGCGGCGGCGCTCGGCGGGCGCCTGATGCCCCGAGCCTTCAACCCAACCACTATTGAAGGAAAGGCGAGAAGAGGAGGCAGAATTACACGAAAGTGAAGATGCACCGTGTTGTTTGTGCCGAGCGCTATGCGCACGCTCAGGTTCTGCACGTTTTGCACGCGCCAGGTTTTGGCAAGTGACTGCATCGCAACACGCCTGGCTTGTGATTGCGCCGCCCTCCGCCGATGGACAACCAACAACGCAGCTGATGGCATCAGGCTCGTGCTTCAATGAACCACCACCCCTGAAGCTGACGGCATCGGGCTCGTGCTTCGGAGCACCGCCGCCCACGTGGCTTATGGTGTCGGGCTTGTACTCTGCAGGGCCTCCACCCCCGCAGCTCATGACAACGGGGAGCGTCGGCAGGGCCTGCTGCAGCTGCTCGCCGCCCTCGCCAACCTTCTTGAGCTCATCGCTTTCCACCCTTTCCCCTGCGGGGCAGGGACCATAGAGCGGGCCTGGCTCGCCTGCACCAGACGCCGAGCTGATGACGTTGGGCTCCACTGCCTGCCACTTCTCGCATTCCACCCTGGTCCCCGCAGCGCAGGGGTCATGGGGCGGGCCTGGCTCGCCTTCACCAGCAACCAGCCTGATAACGTTGGGCTCCACTGCCTGCAGCTTCTCGCAATCCACCCTGCTCCCCGCCGCGCGGGGGTCCTGGGGCGGGCCGGGCTCGACTTCGCCTGCCGACACTTGCCGCCCAGCGCTGGACCTGAAAAGATCGGGCTGCACTTCTCGAGTGGGAATGTTGTGAAGAGGAAGGGAACCACGGAAGAGAGTGTGAGGCCCCAAGAATTCGCAATCTTCCATCCAGGCTTCGAGGCCTGGTGCAATTCCGAATGCTGGGAAGAGCATGCATGCATCTGCGTCCAAGTTGGTACTGAGCTGACGATCCTCTTTAACAGCCTCACCACACGCGCTATCGCATGCCTGGGCTGGCACAAAGACGGGAGCTGAAGGATTCAACTGGGACCAATGGGTGGCCTTTGCACTGCAACCGACGCTGTTTCTACAAGCAGCTCTCCATAATACGCATATGTCATGTGGGTTGCACCTGAACTTCCTAGTTCTGCACGCATAGCCCAGCCTCCTCATTGCTTTTGTAGCCGCACTTTGCGGCCTCCACACGGAACGCGCGGGTAATATCTCGTGGCCAGGCATCTCAGAAGAATACACGGCAGAGACGAAAGAGGCAAGATCGAGAGATCAATGAGACTCCATCGTTGCGGGCCAAGCCGAGCGGGGCTGGCCGCGCGGGGTCACTCTGCGGGGCGGCGGGCGCGCGGTGGGGGGGCGCCGCGCCCCGTTTCGATTAGGGCAGCGCCTTGAGCCAAAATGGCTTGAGCCAAAATGGCTACGGACCTCCTCGTCCTCCTCCTCCTCCTCTTCGTCGTCCTCCTTCTCCTCCTCCTCCTCCTCCTCTTCCTCCTCCTCCTCCTCCTCCTCCTCCTCCTCCTCCTGCTTCTCCTCATGTATCTCTTGGATGCTGCCATCACTCCCCCCGCCCCCCAGGCCGTAGCACCCTTGGGAGAAGTTGATCAGACGACGCCTGCAAATACAAAAAATATCCTGGCGAATGACCCAAACATATGCAGTTGTGAATAGCGCGTTGTGTGTGTCGCTTTCGGTGGAGCTCCCTGTGGGGCCACGAAACGCGTGAGGGACGTGCCGTAATGTGTGGGGGAGACGCATGCGGGCGGTGCCGCTGGGACCTTCGGTGGAGTTCCCTATGGGCCACGGAACGCTGTACTGGGTGTGGCTGACGCATGCGGGCGGTGCCCCTCGCTGGAGCTCCCGATGAGGCCACGAAACGCTGCGCTGGTTGGGGCAAACGCCTGCGGGCGGTGCAGCTGGGATCTTTTTGTGGAGTTCCCTACGGGGCCACGAAACGCTGTACTGGGTGCGTGCGAGCGGTGCTACTGGGGTCTTTCTGTGAAGCTCCCTGCGGGGCCACGAAGCGATGTACTGGGTGGTGGCTGACGTACGCGGGCGGTCCCACTGGGGCCATCGGTGGAGTACCCTATGGGGCCACGAAACGCTGTACTGGGTGGGTGAAACGCAGGGATGAACGGCTGTGCTGGATGGTGGTTAGCGCATGCGGGCGGTCCCACTGGGACTTTCGGTGAAGTTCCCTACGGGGCCATGAAACGCTGTAGTGGGTGGGTGACACGCAAAAAAAAGGGCTGCGCTGGGCGGTGGTTGCCGCATGCGGGCGGTCCCAGTGGGACCTTCGGTGGAGCTTTCTACGGGGCCACGAAACGCTGTATTGGGTGGGTGAAACGCAAGGAAGAAGGGCTGTGCTGGGTGGTGGGTGACGCATGCGGGCGGTCCCACTGGGACCTTTGGTGGAGCTCCCTGCGGGGCCGCGAAACGCTGTTACGGGTGGGTGAAACGCAGGGAGACAGGGCTATGCTGGGTGGTGGTGGACGCATGGGGGCGGTCCTACCGGAACCTTCGGTGGAGCTCCCTATGGGGCCACGAAACGTTGTACCAGGTGGGTGCAACGCAAGGAGGAAGGGCTGTGCTGGGCGGTGGTTGACGCATGCCGGCGGTCCCACTGGGACCTTCGGTGGAGCCCCCTATGGGGCCACGAAGCGCTGTACTGGGTGGGTGAAACGCAGGAGGGAATGGCTGTGCTGGGTGGTGGTTGACGCATGCCGGCGGTGCCACTGGGGCCTTCGGTAGAGACCCCTATGGGGCCGCGAAACGCTGTACTGGGTAAGTGAAACGAAAAGAAGGAGGGCTGTGCTGGGTGGTGGTTGACGCATGCGGGCGGTCCCACTGGGACCTTCGGTGGAATTCCTTCTGGGGCCACGAAACGCTGTACTGGGTGAGTGAAACGCAGGGAGGAAAGGAGGAGGAGGGAGGAAGGAGGCGGGAGGAACGCGGTGACCGTCTCCTCAAAACGAGGACCCAATACCATAGGGTGGTTTGGGGACAAAAAAACCTGGCGAAGGACCCAGCCATATGCAGTTGTGAATACCGTCGTGTACGCACCGCAGTCGGAGGAGCTCCCTATAGGGCCACGAAGCGTGTAAGGGCTGTGCCAAAAGTTGTCGGGTGGGCGCATGCGAAATCAGCCACTGGGGCTGTCGGTGGAATTCCCGATGGGACCACGAAACGCGTGAGAAGTGTGCCGAAATAGGTGCGGTGGGCGCATGCGAACGCAGCCAGCCATTGGGGCCGTCGCTGGAGCTCGCTATAGGGCCGCGAAACGTGTCATGGGTGAGCCGAAATGGGTGTGGGTGACGCATGCTGGCGGTGGCACTGGGGCCTTTGGTGGAGCTCCCTGTGGGGCCACGTAACGTGTGAGAAGTGTGCCGAAATGGGTGTGCGTGACGCATGCGGGCGGTAGCACTGAGGCCTTCGGTGGAATTCCCTGCGGGGCCACAAAACGTGTGAGGGGTGTGCCGAAATGGGTGTGCGTGACGCGTGCGGGCGGTGGTATTGGGGCCTTCGGTGGACCTCCCTGTGGGGCCACGAAACGCCTGAGGGTGTGCCGAAATGGGTGCGCGTGACGCATGCTGGTGGTGGCACTGGGGCCTGCGGTGGAGCTCCCTGTGGGGCCACGTAACGTGTGAGAAGTGTGCCGAAATGGGTGTGCGTGACGCATGCGGGCGGTAGCACTGAGGCCTTCGGTGGAGCTCCCTGTGGAGTCACAAAACGTGTGAGGGGTGTGCCGAAATGGGTGTGCGTGACGCATGCGGGCGGTGGTATTGGGGCCTTCGGTGGAGCTCCCTGTGGGGCCACGAAACGTGTGAGGGTGCGCCGAAATGGGTGTGCGTAACGCATGCGGGCGGTGGCACTGGGCCTTCGGTGGAACTCCCTGTGGGGCCACGAAACGTGTGAGGGGTGTGCCGACATGGGTGTGCGTGACGCATGCGGGCGGTGGCACTGGGCCTGCGGTGGAGCTCCCTGTGCGGCCACGCAACGTTTGAGGGGGTGTACCGAATTGGGTATGCGTGACGCATGCGGGCGGTGGCACTGGGGCCTTCGGTGGAGCTCCCCGTGGGGCCACGAAACGTGTGAGGGGTGTGCCGGAATGGGCGTACATGACGCATGCGGGCGGTGGCAATGGGGCCTCCAGTGGAGCTCCCTATGGAGCCACGAAACGTGTGAGGGGTGTGCCGAAATGGGTGACGCATGCTAGCGGTGGTATTGGGGCCTTCGGTGGAGCTCCCTGTGGGGACACGAAACGTGTGGGGGGTGTGCCCAATCTGGTGTGGGGGACGCATGCGGGCGGTGGCACTGGGGCCTTCGGTGGAGCTCCCTATGGGGCCACGAAACGTGTGAGGAGTGTGCCAAATTGAGTGTGGGTGATGCTTTCGGGCGGTGGCACTGGGGCCTGCGATGGAGCTCCCTATAGGGCCACGAAACGTGCGAGGGTGTGCCACATTGGGTGTGGGGGACGCATGCGGGGGATGGCACTGGGGCCTTCGGTGGAGCTCCCTATGGAGCCCTGTACTGGGTGGGTGAAACGCAAGGAGGAAGGAGGGGGAGGGAGGATGGGGAGGAGGAAAGAGAACGCGGGGACCATCTCTGGATAAATTAGCCTGGCGAAGGACCCAACCATATGCTGTTGTGAATATCGCAATTGTGCTGGGTGGTGGCGGACGCATGCGGGCGGTGCCACGGGGACCTTCGGTGGAGTTCCCTACGTGGCCACGAAACGCTGTACTGGGAGGGTGAAACGAAAGCAGCAAAGGCTGTGCTGGGTGGTGGCGGACGCATGCGGGCGGTGCCACTGGGACCGTCAGTGGAGCCCCTTATGGGGCCACGAAGCGCTGTACTGGGTGGGTGAAACGCAGGGAGCAAGGGCTGTGCTGGGTGGTGGCGGACGCGTGCGGGCGGTGGCACTGGGACCTTCGGTGGAGACCCCTATGGGGCCACGAAACGCTGTACTGGGTGGGTGAAACGCAGGGAGCAAGGGCTGTGCTGGGTGGTGGCGGACGCATGCGGGCGGTGCCACTGGGACCTTCTGTGGAGCTCCCGATGGGGCCACGAAACTCTGTACTGGGCGGATGAAACGCAGGGAGCAAGGGCTGTGCTGGGTGGTGGCGGACGCATGCGGGCGGTGCCACTGGGGCCTTCGGTGGAAACCCCCTATGGGGCCACGAAACGCTGTACTGGGTGGGTGAAACGCAGGGAGCAAAGGCTGTGCTGGGTGGTGGCGGACGCATGCGGGCGGTGCCACTGGGACCTTCGGTGGAACCCCCTATGAGGCCACGAAACGCTATACTGGGTGGGTGAAACGCAGGGAGGAGGGAGAAGGGGGAGGAGGAGAGGAGGAGGGACGCGGGGACCGTCTCTTCAAAACGAGGACCCAACACCACAGGAGGGTTGGGGAAAAACAAGAAAAATCAAACAGCAACAAAAAAATGACGGTGGCACGGTGGAGGACCCCCAGGAACGGTACTGTTATGTCGTCCCCTTGCACCCCGGGGGGGGGGGAGGAAGACAAGACGACGAAACGGCGGGGACAATCCTGCGACTCACCTAGGAAGGGGGACGGGGAAGAGGAGAAGAGCACCGTTGCCAATGGAAGTGAGGGTGCGGCGAAAGTGGCTTGCGGCGCTGAGCTGGTCCTCCTCCTCCTCCTCCTCCTCCTCCTCCTCCTCCTCCTCCTCCTCCTCCTCCTTCTCCTCCTCTCCTCCTCCTCCTCCTCCTCCTCCCCTCCTCCGCCTCCGCCTCCGCCCCCTCCTCCTCCTCCTCCTCCTCCTCCTCCTCCTCCTCCTCCTCCTCCTCCTACTACTCATCTTCCTCCTCTTTCTGCTCCTTTTCATCCTCGTCCTCTTCGTCCTCTTGAGGGCCCCGCCCGGCCCCGCGCCGCCGTGCGTGGAGCCCACCCCTGCAGCTCCCGGCGGGGGGGCGGCCGCTGCTTTGCCCCGCTCCTTGCGCCCTGCCTTCTTCGCCGCCGCCTTCTCCTTCCGCTCCTTAGCGCGGGCGGGCGGGAGCCCAGCCACACGAGGACGCCAACGGGACAACCTTGTGTGGCAACTCATGGGATCCTCCCGTACCGTCTCCTTGACTTTCTGCGAACGGACGCGAAGCCGGCGCCTTCTCGCCGATTATCCCGCAAGAGGGCGCCAACGGGACATAGAAGGACGTACTAGCACTACACGCCACTGCTGGAGGGGCGCGACCGGCCCGAACGTGCAGCACAAGATCTTGCAGCACCCTGTCTCCGGAGCGGTATGGCCAGAAGGCGCCCGCCACGGAGCTTCTGTTGCAGGACTCCCGAGCGTGCGCGTCGGCCTTGCGCGGCCGACGGACACGCAGTCTTACGGTGGAGGGCGGTGCCGCCGCCTTCGCCTCCCGCTCTTGGGCGCGGGCAGGCGGGAGCGCAGCCATCCGGTGGCAAGTCAAGAGAGCCTCCAGTACCATCTTGTTGGATATTGCGAACCATTGCCAAGTCGACGCTTTCTCATCGGCGACCAGACGCCAGCGCACGCAAATCCCCTCCAAGGACGAACTTGCAAGGACACAGACTTGCCTTGCCATCGCTCGGACGTCCATTCACAGTGCATTCTTCGGCTTCGTGCGCTTATTTTTTCGCGAATTGGGGCGACACGGTCCTCGATGCTCCTCGCCGAGAAAAATGCACATGGCCGAGAGATGCCAAACGCAATGCTCCAATGATTTGCTACCGAGCCAAACGCAAGCGGACGCCAACTCCACAACCGTACCGATCCTGGCCAGGCCCCTATCGGGCCCAGGGTCGACGCACGTGGGCCGCTGAAGGACATACTGATACTATGAGCTGATGCCGGAGGTGCACGTCCCACACGAGCGTGTGCCACGTTGCCATCGCTCGGACGTCCATGCCACGTGCATGTTTCGATTTCGTGCGCTTATGTGGCGTGAGATTATCCTATCTGCTCCTCGATGGCCCTCGCCGAGAAGAAATGCACACGTCCGAGCGATGCAAAGTGAGCTGATGTTGGAGGCGCACATCCAGCACGAACATGGGCCACGGACCTTGTGAGGTGTGTGCCGAAATGGAGGCGGTGAGCGTGTGCGGGGTGTACCGCTATTAAACCAAAAAACAAACGACACCACCCCACCTACAGTCCCACGGGCCTTAGCGTATACTGGCAAATCTGGCGTTGGCTTTTGCGCGGAATGCTTTACGGCCCCCTCATGTGCAGTAGCGCAACGAGGAGGGCCGTAGGTGGGGTGGTGTCGTTTGCTTGTTGGTCGAGGGAGGGGTGTGCGGGAATGGAGGCGGGGAGCGCATCAGGCGTGTGCCGCAATGGGCGGGGACCGCAGGCGTAATCCTGGGAGCCCAGCCGCAAGAGGACACGCCTACTCCACACCCGCACCGATCCTGGCCAGGCCTCTCCTGGGCCCAAGGTCGGTGCACATGCCGTCCTGACTCGGTCAGACAGGCACGCACACACGAGCACACACACACACACACACACACGTAGATCGGGAATCTAGTGACCCAGGTCAATACAAACCCGGGTTAGTCAAGCGTTGCAGAATCCTGCAAAACCCTTCAAAATCCTGCAGGATACTGCGCCCTAACCCGGGTCAGTGCCCCTGGCTTTGCAGGATCCTGCGAGATCCGCCGCTCTGACTGACCCCCGTTTGCTTTGACCTCCGTCTCAAGGCTCGCGCATATATGCACCGACCTCGGGCCTGGGATCGGCCTGGCCAAGATCGGCGTGGGTGGAACCGAAGGCGGGCACACGGGCAAGTCAGGCGGAACGCCCGAGAGCGTCGCGCCCCGCTCGTGGGGACATCAAGGCGCGCGATAACCACGGATACCGATGCCACGGATTGCATCAAAAAAGGCAAGTATATGGCGGCACCGACCATAGGATGCAGTGAAAAACTGCGTGTCCAACAGCGCTCTGCATTAGAGCTGCCATGTATCCCCTGCTGGAGGATGTGACAGCGGAGAGACTCGCCAAGTGTAAGGACGCCAAGAAGCGCACCTCAAATCCCCACACCACCTACGACAAGGACATGGAAGGAAACACCAACGAATGCAAGGCGGGCCTGATACACGTTTTGCTGAACATTCCATGGGGCCGGAGAAGATCACGAATATGATGCGGTGGGAAGACCAAATTTCACACCACTCTCTTCGCCAAGACTGGCGCGGACACATCCGACAATGGCACGAACCCGAACGAGGAGGCCCCGGACGGCATGTTCGCGCATCACGCGGAGCAGTACTTTGCGATCAACAGCGACGCATGAGACAACCCTACAGAAGCCCCCAACCACCGCGAGGACATCGGAGGCATGCCCGAAGCTCTCACAGAAAGGTTAATCCGGAAACCATCAGTACGAACAACACAACTACCAGGCGGACGGCTTTCTGATAAATATAAAACCTCATAGCGAGCGCCCCTCGCGAATGCCGGCCGCAAGGAAAATAAGAGCGCGTTTCTTTCTTTCAGCGATAACGGGCATTATAGAAGGGGCCAGGGGGGGGTATGATGTAGCGTCTCCCCCCCGCCGTGCGCACGGCGGCAGTGCCGGGAACGCACTGGGGGGGGAGGGGCGTTACGTTATAGGGGGGGGGCAGGGGGATATGATGTCCATTATGCCCCAAGCAATCAGGAAACACGCTCTAACGATCACAAGTACGGAGGGCAACAACGCGGTCACAGCGGCCGCGGACGCGTGAATCGAAGAGAACGGGGCCTTGGCCGCTCCTTGCCCAAGAGACCGTGTGCCACTGGCATCGGCTGCGGCCCTGGAAGCAGGGAAGACGACGAGACGCCACAAGAGGCCCGCGGGCACGATGGCCACCGCGTGGCCATCGCCTTGTGGCGCACGCGAAGGGGCAAAAAGAAGGGCCACCATGACGGACGGGCCCTAGAAGGCACGCCGCGGCAGGGGCACGAGCGGGCCACGGGCCACGGGACACCTCGACCATGGCGAGGCACGCACTGCCGAGTGCACACACACACACACACACACACTGAAGAGGAGGAGGAGGAGGCGAGGCGAGGCGAGGCGAGCACGCGATGTCAGTCCGGCGGGACCGGCCCTTAGAGGGCAGCGCGGGGGGGCCAGAGCCCTCAGGAGACGTGTTGGCGGCAGGAATTGGAGCCGGAGTCGGCGGAAGCCGACTCTGGAGGAGGAGAGGAGGAGGAGGATGAGGAGGAGGAGGAGAAGGACGAGGACGAGGAAGCGGAGGAACCACGAGCGGGCCTTGGGCCACCACTGGGGCCACGGCGCGGCGCTCAGCATACTGGGCGCCACGCCGGAGCAGCCTGGCGGCCCGGGGCAACGAGTGCCACGGCGCAGAGCCGACCACCGGCGGCAAGCACGGAGTGCTCGGAGAGGCCACGGGCCACAAAGGAGCCATGGGCAGAGCACGAGTCACGGCCACGAGGCGGCCCTGTCTTGTTTTTTATGTTCTTTGTTTCCTCTTCCCTGTCTCTGTGTCTCTTTCTCTCCTTGTCTCCTCCCTCCAGCCGCCCTGCGTGGAACGCTGCGCGCGCGCTCTGCGCGGTCGCCTCGCTGGGGCTCGTGACCTTCCGTGGATCAAAACAGCGAGTTCAAGACAGCCTTGCGGTCCACACGCAGATTGTGTATCAATTGCGCCTTTCGATTGTATTATGATGGAGCCGCGCTTACTTCACGCTGACCTCGTGCAGCTTTTTTTTGAGCGACATTGTGACGGCCTAAGTAAATCGGGGGAAGGGGGGGGAAAACAAAAAACATATGAAAAAGGATCGACGCGTGAACAATGTAAATTGCAAATTGCGAGTGAGGACTTCGTGACTTGGCTTTCGAATGGTGGCATGCATCCTCTTCACATTCACGACTTTCCTCGTGATGTAATTAATCATCTGGATTCGATTGAATGTCGTTTGTATTCTGGTTCACGCCGACTGGAAGATACTTTGGCACCGTGCGGTGTTGGATCTTTCAAAGAATCACTCGCAGAAACCGCGTCGGCTCCAGACAATGTCGATTATGTTACAACCGCTCTTGACCAATATCAAGTGTTCAAAGCGTGCTCTTCTTTCGGGAGGAGGAGCTGCAAACCATGGTCGCCGCGAGGGGGGTTGCGGAGCCGTAGATCGGCCCCTGGAGGCCCGTGGCAGGGGGGGGTGCAGAGCCTACAGGTTCAGCCTCCCCTGGCTCCACGGGGTCGAAGCAGAGTGCTGCGACACATCAAAGACAAAATCGCTGCGGCTTCCGTGCGGGATAGGCCGTCGAGCCTGCCTGTTTTGGAATCGTTGTTCGAAGCCTGTGTTCCTTTTTATCCTGCGCCGCTGATTGAGCCGAAATTTGAAAAAACAGATATCTCGTCGTGATTTTCGCAGTCAGCGGGGACCTTGTTGGAAGGAAAGTACAAGGAAGATTTCGCCAGGGTCGCTTGATTCAATTGCGGCTTTCAGCGCATCTGCGCGTGAACGCGGATATCAAAATGCAGACTCTTCGCATAAGGTTCTCGCTCGTTCGCTGAAAAGTTTGCTTCCGAAGCCAGAGGTGTCAACGTTCTTGCGCATAATTCTGAAGATATGAAAAAAAACGCATCGTTCGATTAGTGCTTCTGCTGCGCTGACAAGAAAGCATCTAAAAAACCTTAACAACAAAAAGCAAGGCAAAGACAGATAACAGAGTTGACGAAATCGTCGAACTTGGGAGCTCAATGCAAATACAACTTGATTGAAGATCTCAAAGCGCAATCAGCTATGCCCAGCCAGTGGTTTCGCACTGCTCGTTTCATTATCGCTCTCTCGCTCTCTCTCTCTCTCTCTCTCTCTCTCTCTCTCTCTTCCTCCATATTTATCACTCACACTCGTCTCCCTGTGAACTGTATTCCGTACGGTGTATCTTAGCTGTGTTCTGGAAGCTTGTAATTACCGCTTCTTTTTTTCCAATTCAGAAGGCAAGCACGTGCAGCAGCAACAGACAGCAGGTAGCGCACATGTATGTTGGATCGCTGTTCTGGCTC